TCTTTACACGGATATATACCACCGGTTCGGTGAAATTTTCTAATATCGCTCGCCCTTGTACCGTTTGCAGAGCACTCGTCGGTGCTCATCTCGACGCGGATTATCTTGCAACCCACTCTTTCCCAAGAGTCGCGGGTGCGCGGTTTTTCACGCCGATCACCCGACTCCATCAACGCTGACCCAGTTCACCAACTCGTGGAACGCAAAGCGGAACGCGGAGGGCAATCCGATCGGCTCGGTCGCTAAGGTCGGCTAAGGTCGTGACCATGAAATCCCTCTTGAATCGCAACCGAACGGGACACGCGGGATCGGTGACGTAACAACGAATCGCGTAACCCCTTCACGAATAAAATGACACCTCGTCCGTGTTCTCGGGCCGAGCGAAACAGCCGCGAGGCAGGATGTCCGTTCAAAGATCGCCGATTAAAAATACGGTGTGGGTTCGCGAGTAGACGGTAGACGGCCCTGCGATATTGCTAATTATAACTCGGCAACGAAACCACCGCGTTGACTCGCACGAGCGATACGCGCGGGACTGGCGCATATGCCGTGGATACAATCGTAACCCGGTGCATATTAGCGACGTGTCGCAAAACGGGCAAAGCGCCGTTTTAAAACGGCACGTTTTCAAAAATACTGGCTTCGCTTTTGACGCGGTTTTACGCGCGACTACTTCGCTCTCTTTCTTCTATCCGCGTTCGCCAACGCTAATTAGCGAACTCGACTTTTAATCCAAGGTGTTTAATTAATGTGTCTTTTTAACAACGCTCTAACGACGAACGTTAACGCGATAATCGTTGTAAATATTTGTACGGTTGTAAAAATCTTCGAGATTCTGTTTTATAATAATTTTTCGTATAATTTTCCAAGACTTTGCACAAGAGCTGATATTCTTCCAATAAGGTAAGGAAGAGACAATATCGGTAAATAATTATTTTTCTATGAATTATAAGAATATTGGAATAAATAGACGGTTTGACGGGATGAATTGACAAAAAAATGTATGACCATTTATCGTCGAATCTTTTGGTTGAAAGAGTAAGTTTAAAATATTTGTTATACGGTTATGTTGGCACTTGAACGAAAAAACAAATAGGCCATCGTATCTCGAGGGCAGGCGAGATACTCGCTCATATCGGAAACATTCATCGCGTACTCTCGAAACGTGCGCGATATGATCTTTAGATGCAAGTCATGGCTACGTATCATGTGATATAGCGACACGTTCCTTTTATAAAGACACGTCGCGTCATCGTTGTCATTTCCTATCCGAGATACTTATCGAGCGCCAAGTAGTAAAAGCATCTCTCTTTTAAAAAGTAAACGTGTAAAATTGCGTGCAAACGTTTTTGAAACGCGTTCTCGACGCGTGCATGAAAGAAAACGCCGCCGACAGTTCCTCTTTACGACTTACTGGTAGTCAAGCGAGTCGTAGAATTCAAAGTTTCGCGAGTCCCTCTTGAGACGCGTGCCAGCCCATTCTTGGAAAGCTTCGGTTGCGAAATATCGTCGTTCCCCGGTAGTACGATCGTTCGTCGGGTAGTGGTTTATTACTGGTAGTGGTTTGATGGACGGAAACAGGGAGAGGAGGCGACTTTTCCACCCCTCGGATGGGTGGCGAGCACTCGAGAGACTTCATCTTCGAGGAGTGCTCCTTTGGCAGAGAGACAAGAGCGCGAGATAGCACCGAGTAGCACCGGCGCTATCGCGATGCAAACGATGTAACGCGTTATGGAGTATCGACCTGTTGGCACCCCTGCCTCTGCAGCTGCGGTGCGTCTCTATCTTTAGCTCGGACCGGCCCATACCATGGGACTCTCCCATAACCATGGTGGCTGCCCTCCCCCTTCGTCGCTCCTTTACTTTTTCTTTCCTTCTGTCATAACGCGTTCCTCGATATTTAGAGTGCGCTCATCAGCTTGGCTTTTGTATAGTGACTACCTCTGATGTCTTTTCATCGCGAAAGACTTTGTCGAGAATCTCGCTCGCTGAAGACGCTGATTACTTTCTTCTTTTTTCCAAGATGGATCCTTGCCACGAATTAATCGAACGAATCCGTCTCGAGCATCGCGACGTCTCCGAGACTGAATTAGCCTCGAGCGATTCGAGAAGAAAACGCTTTCGATTCGCTAGACCGGTTCTCGGCCGAGAGACACCTGTCGCGAACTCGACCGCGCTCGAAAAGAGACGAGTAACTCGCCGCGGAACAAAGAGGGAAATGGAACGAACATTGACGAGAGACGAAGACCGATCGCTCCACTGTTCGATCGACGCAGTCATTCCAATTCTTCTTTTCTTTTTATTAATTACGATGTTCCCTCCATCGACGTACTTTTACAAGGAGCTCGGATAAGTATTCATAATGGTGAAAAATAATTAGATGTAATTGCACGTTGCCTGTAAATCGCAAGTCCATTTAAAATCTTACAGTTTAAAGTTTGTTGAATTGAAATTGATGATATGATTGAAATGTTGAACAAAGGCACTTGAGGCAGTTGGCAGAAAAAAGAAGAAAAAAAAGAATCTTGCCTCCCTTATCCTCTCTTTCGTCATTTTCAAAGAAAACGCTAGTCACATCGTGACATAATCGATAGAAGCTTTTTCTTTCCGTATCATGAGTGTATCATGATACAGAATCTTTATTTATCTATCTATCTTGTTATCTTTATGATACATATTTTCACCTTCTCGTTTCAGTACACTGCAATTCACTTCATTCAACTCGTGAAGTAAAGTCATTAATAGTCGATATATTGACTACGAGGAAATAATTTGTTCGAAGTAGTAATCGTCTTGCCAAGTCTCTATATACCTGTCCGTTCGCGCATCCAACTCGTTTCCTTTCTCTCTTTTCTCCTCGAATGGACCACCGTGTCGTGTGTTTGCTTTTACTGGTTCTTGTATGCGTCACGGACAATAGATCGACTCTTTCTTCGATAAAGGCGACATATCAAACCCACGGGTTTCTCCGTGGTGAATGGAGACCGCAGGATCTATTCCACGAGAAACTCTAAGCTAGAATTCGTTGGCGTACAATATAACGAGAATTCGTAATTTTCCTTTTCGTAATAGATAGATTTGTGCAACGTAGAAACGCGGTTCGTCGAATCCCTTGTAGCGACGTGAACTGACCTGGGGTTCCTTAATGAAGTTACGTCCCCTTCTGTCATCGTCATACTTCATCGTAAGAAGGTCTGACATGGGCCATTCGATAATAATTCCCGGCGAAATTGTAACATAGCATAAAATTTCTCTTTCTCTGAAGTCTCATTATTGCTCGAACATCAAGGAATACCGATCGAAATTACCTCGTCTCCTTCGTTCAATGAAAAATCACCATCGAAAACCGATAAATCTCATTTACTTGGCAATGCAACAACGAGGCACCACGATGATTATTTGTTCCTTTGCAACGAACGAACAATCACGATCTAGTCCTGATTAAAATTCATGGCGTTGAATGTATTTTTTCTTTACAAAAATAGATATATTCTATATTGTGATGTATTTTAAAATTAATAGAAATTTTTTAAAAAACATAGTATTTTTGCCTGAAGGAATCTGTTTTTATTATTGTAAAAAAAAATCTGAATCGATCAACGGGAAAGAATTTATAGTAGATCACGCGCGCAAAAAAGTATAATCGATTAAAAGAATCCTTGATAGTTTATAAATTTATGATATATTTTAATTGTCGTTAATTTACGATCACTTGCATTATATAGTTGCATTATATTTTCATCTAATATAAATACATAACATAGTATACATATATATACAATATACGGTACAATATACAATATATCGTACGATCAATGCAAGTTCGAAATAACTTAACCTCGAAAAGAATAATCCTTACTGATAAAATTATCTTTCTGCTGTATACATGATATTAATTGTATCTACCTGTATCCATCGTTATCAGGACTATCGATAATATTCTTACTCTTGACAAATAATCGTGTTATCTTTATATTTGAATCGCATTTAATCATATTTAGAATTGAATCGAGGTCGGAGAATCGATCGGTTTCTATATTTCTGCAAAAGTTTTTTTCAAGCAGGATGAGACTCAAGTTCTTAGATTAATTGACAATAATATTGACAGTCTAAAAAGTTGGAGTACTCTTATGCTTTTGTACACGTAATTCCTTCGTGGTGTACCGGTGATATGAACGATAGTCGAATACATGATTATCGCGGTAACAGGAAACATCGGGTGTGTCATGATAATGTCTCTATGCGAATTTTTATTTTATGCATAATTTTATATAATGTATTCTTTTAATCAATTATTTTTGTATAAAAAAATATCAAAAGAAATTGAAGAATATAAGAAATTGTTATCCACTTCATATTCTGTACATATTATAATATGATTGTGTGATGTATTTATGTAAATATTAATTGACAAGTTATACAAACAGATAAGAGAAAGTAAATAGATTTATATATAAATATTTTATTCTATTTGCTATTGCTTGTACCGTATATTTACATCGTTTCTATGTATTATGTAACGCTTAAATATTTCATATTATTCATTATACTAAGGAACCATGAAGAGAATACTATCTTTTCGCAAAAGATATGTCTTACTCGTGTTCATTTGTTTTCTCTTTCAAGAGTAATACAGAGAACTTAGTCGTTTCGAATCTGTTTTTATAAGAAATATCGAATGAAAAATAAATCGTGTAATCGAATAAAAGATTAATTGTAATCTGAATAATGTATACCTATCTAGAGTAATAATTCGGCATCATATAGATATGTTAGTATGACATAAACACGACCAAACTAATACGTATTTAAAAATTACGATTAAGAAAAAAATAAATTTTTTTCGAAATAATTTTTATTATATAATATTTGATTCGAAAAGATTTGTCATGTTCTTTAGATATAATTCTTTTTATTTTTCTTATTTTATATTTATCTATGTATAAATGTCAATTTAAATGAAAGAAGAATGATTTATAGTTAAAGGTCAAAAAACTCACCGGCAATAACTGTATCCTGAAGATTATATTTACTAGAGCCTGTTTTTCCGACTTTTGGAAAATCCTTAAGTTTTCGACCGCTAAGCTTGAGCTCACCACTTAAGTGTGCTTCTTCCAGAATTCGCTCAAGACTTCTAGTGAGCTGCTTTTGTATGTGGCCGCTCATGTTCGACGCGACCATCGCCATATTACATTTTTCGGGCACGTACACGCGGAAGTACAACAGCGAGTATCTTCCTTGGCGTATCAGCCACTCGTCTTTTAAACGAGGTAAGATGTTATAAAAAAAATTAACACCCACCAACTACTCCCGATACTTGCTTCTGCGCTACTGATCACAATTTAGTAAAGCGCATGGATGCAAACGATTATAGCGCCCCCATTTAGACGCCATTTTAAAAACAATATTCGATTTTATTCGAGTATCGCAATTGCAATCGATTTCTATAATTTCATTTAAAATATTCTTTTTTTTGATGCATCAAACGCATAAAATATTTTTAATTTCAATAAAACCAAAGTAAATGCTCACAGGAAATAAAATATTTGAAAAATTGAAAAAATACAATTGATTCAAAATTAAAATTTGATAAAATCAAGTCAAGATTCTGTTGTTTCTATAAAAAAAAAAAAAAATTAGAAGATTATTAATATATACTTCATTGCTGTTATTTTTAAAACGAAAATTTTAGACATTGTCATTTTCATTATTATAATTACTTACATTCATTAGATCGAACAATCATATATTTTTTCATATATATTTAAATTTACATTCACATTTTACATTCATTCATTTCATTATAAGTTTAACATACACCATTCATATACTATATAGAAAAAATTAAAATAATTCCTAATACAAATATATTAAATTATTTCTAAATTCACTAATTTTTTTGTTGCGAAAGTAAATTATTTGCTTCTTGATATTCTCTTATTAATCGTTCTTCTACTTCTGGTAAACAAGATGTATATCTTGCATATTCCATAGTAAATTCTCCTTTCCCTTGAGTAGTAGATCGCAATTCGCCAATGTATCCAAACATTTCGTTTAATGGAACTTCTGCTTTTAATGTACACCATCCTTCATTGTTATCTGTATTAGTCATGATACCATGTCGTTTAGTGATTTGAGCAGTAACTATACCCTTTAATATAATAATATAAATTAATATAAAATATAATTTATTGTTAGGTAATAGAAAAGTATATATTCTTATTTACTTGAAATTCCACAGGAGTGCTTATTTCCACTGACATAATTGGTTCTAAAATTTGCCATGATCCTTTTAAAAATGATTCTTTCATTGCACCTTCTGCAGCGAGAAAAAATGCTAATTCTGAAGAATCCACGATATGATGCATACCATCAAATAATGTAAATTTAACACCTGCTATTTTATGACCAGAGAGATATCCTTTTTCGCACATGGTTTTAAATCCTCTTTCTACGCCAGGAACAAATTGTTTTGGAACATTTGTTCCTATTGTTTTATCAAGAAATATAAGTTCAGTATTTTTTTCTTTCGGTAATGGCTATAAAAATTGTATTGTAAATAAATGTAAATAATAAATATACAATACAGATATAATAAATATAATGTTATTCAAATAAATCAAATTATTACTTCTAATATTCCAATTATACGTGCATATTGCCCAGCTCCTCCTGTTTGCTTTTTGTGAAGATAATCAAATTCGACAGGTTCACGTAATGTTTCGCGAAACGAAACTTTTGGTTTTCCAAGTATAATAGGACAACCATATTCACGTTCAAGTCTTTGAGCATATATTTCTAAGTGTAACTCTCCCATTCCAGAAATTAAAGATTCCTAAATCATAGTATTGTATTATAGTTTTCTCAAATTCATTTATATATATTCAATATATTAATACATATACAACATAACTTTTTATATTTTACCTTATTATCTGTATCATAATAATATTTTAAAGTAGGATCTTCTTTGGTAAATCGTGCGATACCTTTTGAAAAATTATCCCGATCTTTTGAATTTTTTATTTGAATAGACATCGATACTACAGGCTCAGGTACATAAATAGATTCCATTGATAACTTTAGATTAGAATTATTGACAAATGTATCACCCGATGCACAATCTATTCCAAACAAAGCAAAAATATCCCCGGCATAAACTTCAGACACATCTTCCATTTGATTTGAGTGAAGTCTTACTAGTCTTTGAATTCGAATCTAAAAAATATTATATAAAAATTTTATTCTTAATATAAAAGTTATATTACAATTATATACGAACTTTTTTATTTGTTCTTGTATTAATTAAAGTATTTCCTTTGCTTATCATTCCTTGATAACAACGAAAATAAGTTAATTGACCAAATTTTCCAGCTTCTAATTTAAATGCTAATCCAATAAAAGGATGTTTGTTACTTCTTTCAGAATTCAACAAAATTTTAATAGTTTCATTTCTATAAATAACAATTCATTATTATTCATTAAAAAAGTAATAATTCAAAAGCAACAAATAAATAAGAAACTCACTTATTCTCTTGAAGTGCATAGTTGTCAACTTCTCCAGGATTTGGCAAATAGTTTATAACTGCATCTAATAATGGTTGAACACCTTTATTTTTTAAAGCAGTTCCAACTAGAACTGGTACAAAAGTTCTTTTTATACAACATCTTCTAATAGCATCTATTATGTCTTTTTCAAGAATTTGTATTTCATTTAAATACATTTCTCCAAGATACTCATCAACATTGCTCAAGTGTTCAATTAATTCTTGTCTTTTTTCTTGTGTTTCTATATATAAAATATGTTTGATTTATTTAAAACATATGATATTTTTTGTATTCTCTAAAATATTAATAAATTAAATATTTTACACTTATGATTCATTTAGAGATTTAGCAAGATATGACATTTTGTGAATTTAATATTAATTGAATAATTTATAATTATACTATATCTCTAGATGAAATATATATTATATACCTGTTCTCATGTCTAATGGAATTTCATCTTCTCTTACAACTTCACCAAAGTTTCCTTCAAAATATAAAGCTTTTTGATTAATTAAATCTATTACTCCTTTATTGTTATTTTCTAAACCAATAGGTAATTGTAAAAATGCAGCATTAAGATTTAATTTTCCTCTTAACTGTTCCAAAATTCTCTTATGATTAGCACCTAATCTGTCCAATTTATTAATAAATGCTATGCGAGGTACATTATACCTTCTCATTTGTCGATCTACAGTTATTGTTTGTGATTGTACACCACCTACTGCACATAATACAAGTATAGCTCCATCTAAAACACGTAAAGATCGTTCTACTTCTACAGTAAAATCAACATGACCAGGAGTATCAATAATATTAATATTATGATCTTTCCATAGAGTGTAAGTTGCAGCAGATTGAATTGTAATGCCTCTTTGTTTTTCTAATTCCATACTATCCATTGTTGCTCCAACATTGTCTTTACCTCTCACCTATAATAAATATTTTATTATAATTAAATAAAAAATTTATATTCTAACATATTGAATAATATAATACAAATTAAAATTATTTTTCTTTTACCTCATGCATTTTAGTTATTCTTCCAGTATAAAATAATATTCGTTCTGTTAAGGTGGTTTTTCCAGAATCAATATGTGCCGATATACCAATATTTCGAATTTTTTCCAATGATTTATGTTCTGCATATTTTGCAAATGATGATAAAGATTGTAAATTGTTCTATTAGATATTCAATAATATAATTAATTATATAAATAACCTTAAATAATTGTTAAACAATTTAAATTTTGCAGGTTAGAATACTTACTTTTGAAAAATAAGAGTAATAAGTTAAAAATGATTTTAAATTGATATCATGTCTTAAAACTGTTATTATAGACATAATAGTTAAGTATTTTATAATATACTTTAATATTTAAGAAAATAATTTAATAAAGAATAATATATATCGAAAATTCTTAGCTATTGAGCATAATCGGATATATCCGAACAATTATGAAAGTATATATTTTATGAATATTAATAATAATAAAAATATTTATTATATATATCTTAACATTCAGTAGATAAAAAATTTTAGAAATAATTTTATTATTTTTTGTGTTATTATTTATTTCATTATTTTTTCACATTATTATTATAATATGATTTATCTTAACATAAATACTGCATACTGTAACATACGATTGTAATTTTATTAAAATAAAACATAACAAGCTTATTTAATATATATATTAAAATGTTTATATACTACAAATATTTACATTGAGCTTACAGAAAGTATGAATTTTGTGCTTAGATAATTATAATTTTCATTCAAATGTAAAATTCATTTTTATATTGTTTTTAATATTGTGTAATTATATTTTGTGATGTATATTTTTTTTTGTAGAACATACAAGGTAACTGAAGAAAAAAAAAAAATTATATACTAGAAGGGATAAATTTACAATTTTTTTTTCTAATGCTCAGAAATATGTCAATAAACTTTAATATTTTTATTTATCGCATATTTCCATAAACAATTAACATCAATTTTCTCGGAATAATTCATATCCATAATTCATAAGAATTATAAATACATAAAATAATTATGTGCTGACAATGAGAATTATAATGTACATTCACTATGTATCAAAATACATTCCTAGTGAATTTCTTATCTCTAGTTTGAACATATGAAACATTAATATTAACATTGATATAAGATTTATGAATAGATATTTATTGTGAAGGAAAAAAGATCTTTCAAGCATAAAATATACTTATAAGAATCAAGTAATTAATTGAATATTCCCTTTAATATCTTAATGTTACTTTAGTACTTTTTCTTTCTCTTTTTTATTTTTTATTCTTTTTTTATTTTTTTTTATTTTCTTTAATATTTAAATTTTCAAAATGCATTCCTAAATACATTTAAGAGTATAAAATCCTATTTATCATTACGTATATTTTCTCTGTACATACATATATTCAAGCTGAAGTTATAATACAGCTTAATTTATGTTGATTTTTAAAAACATTTACAAATATGTTTAGTACTCTATTCAATTAAAAGCAAGTAACATTTTTGGTATTAAATTTAGTCGGTGAATGTTTGTCATCGCTATCACCAAGATCCATACCAAACGGTACCGAATTCCAAATAGCTTTGTCATTTCGATCATTTTCTTCGCTCAAAATATTGCACATCATACGATCGTCATAAAGAGAAAATCTAGCGGTTGATTGTCCACGACCGCGAATTTTCCTTACTGAAGGTGGTAAATCTCCCGGTGTTTTTATTCTCATATGTGGATCTTTTAACACATTTACATTAGATCCTACATTAAAAACTTCGTTGAATTTATCGATGCTTTCTTGTCTATTAATATTTTCACTTTTTTTATTTCTTAAATTTACAAGGGGTAGGGTAGATGGTCGAGTATTTGTATTATTATCATTATCAAATTTTTGTTTACCAATTTGTATAGCATTTTTATCATTCTTATCTAACGTAGAAGTAAAAGCAGGTGTTTTAGTAATAATACCATTCACATATTTTCCTGCCGGAGATATCGTTACATTAGTTTCTACAGTTTTGATCTGTACGTTCTGTTTTGACAATAAATTGGATTTAGAATCCTCTCGATCTATTTGATATTTATTATATGGATACATTTTCTTATTAACAAGTAATTTTTTAAAATTTGACCATCCGAATAATTTTTTTCGAGGACTATCTTGCGAACAAATCTCATGTACATTTGTTTGTTTCCTTTTACCATACGATGATGTACCATCATCCGAAATAACATTTTGAACATATGGTATAGGTGTAGCTGGTCTCAACTGAGATAATTGCGTTGTGTGTTGACTCAAATAATCATGAGAAACAAGTCCTTGTGCTTCTGATACAATTCTATATTGATCATTACATGTATGTTTCATAGATTTATCAACAAGTACATTACCATTACATTCTAAATCTTCAAGTGAATCCGACTGTAACATTAAATTTCTTTCCATACAAGGATTTCGTCCTTGATAAGGTTGAAGTGTTTGAGTATGATTATATATTGCTATTTCATTTGAATTTTTAACTAAAATATAATAAAAAGTTGTATTATAATAATGAATTTTAAAACCTATAATATAATCTTAATAAAATACTTACAGCTATGCTCATGGATAATGCTTTCAGAAGGTGATAATGTTACCAGATTTTCAACAACGCCGCCTTCGTTGCTCGAACTATCTTGTGTTACTTGTGATATAAGTTGAGTGGCATGGATATTGTCATGATGTGAAGATTCACTATAAAGACTATTTGTGGTTGAAGGCACTAGAGTACAATGGGAGTTTACCATTGGACTTCCATCAGTAAAATGTATTGTTACTGAAAATTTATGAATTATTTTTTTCTTTTAATATATATGTATATATTATATAATGATAATGTAATAAAGATTACCTCGATGAGATTGTAATTCTGAAAGGCGTTCTTCTATACATAAAGCAGTTAACCGAGCTTCTGCATCTGCATCCCAACAATCTTCCATTGTTTCTTTAATCAAACGTACTCCTGGCCTATCCACTAAATTACCTTCTAATAGAGGTCTTGCTTTATTACGAGAAACTAAAACTTGCATTTGTTCAAATGTTGGATGAAGACCAATTTCTTTCTCATATGGTTGTCTATAGGGAGGTATTTCGGATCCTAATACGTAAATATCCGAGCATCTTGAAACTAATTCCCATATTACTAAACCCATTGCATAAACATCTATTTGTTTTAAAGAACTTTCGCAATCTCGTAAATTTACAGCACCTTCCAATATTTCTGGCGCCATATATCTCAAAGTACCGACCTAATTTAAATATGAAAAATACATAATTATAAATTATTTTAAATGTTATACATTTTTTAATATTAAAGTTATTATCATCAAGATATTACATCATTGATTGATTTTATTTCGGCATGCTGTGCTTCTCCATTTGAATAGTATTTAGATCCAGAAATTTGAACTGCTAATCCTAAATCGCATATACAGCAAGTACCATCAGCTTTGATTAATATATTTCTTGAATTGATATCTCTGTGTGCAATGCATGGCTTAAATTTATCTGCAAATTAATTTTTTAAGAATATTTTTCGATTTATCCTAAAATATTTTTTGTATCTTTTACTTACCACCTTTATGTATATCAGTATGTAAATAAGCAAGACCTTTCACCATAGAAAGACCCATTTTACAAAATGTGGCCCAATCAATCATATGTGTTCTTAAAAAATCTGTTAAAGTACCACCTGGTGCAAAACTAAGTACCAAAAGATATTCAACACTACCTTCCATACTAACTCTTTCATCCACGCCTAAATAAGAATTATAAATATTTATTATTATTATTAATATTTTAACACTATTTCAATAAATGACAAAATATTGTTTGAAAATAAAAAAAAATATTAACCATAGTAACTTAAAAGAGATGAGTGTTCCATAAAGGGAAGACAATAAGTATCTCGTTCATTTTGGAAATAATTACGATAATGAGAAGGAAATATTTTTACAGCAACATCTTGATCTCCCATGCTGCCTTGCCATACAGAACCATAGCGACCTTGACCTGAAATTATATAAATGTATTATATGTTTAAAAACATCTATTTTATTATAGATTAATAATCTATTTTTATATAATTATAATTAATAAAGAACATACCTACAATTGTTGTAAGTTTCAAATGATCTACTGTATAAGTACCAGTTCTTAATGCTGTACTATCCATAAATTGATCTGTATAAGAAAGTGGTTTTCCTAATCTTGCTAACATATTATTATGATATATACGATATATCATTAAAGCTATAATACATATTACTAATAATATGCATAATAAAACACTTGTTATAATAACAATCCATCTCCCAGAATCTGATTGCTCCAAATACTGAGTTGCTGTAAGATTTCATAAAAAAAAAAAAAAATATTATGCATAATGAACTTATAAAATAATATAGAATATTATATTTTATGTCATGAATCCTTACTAGGCTGATTATTTTCTGCAGAAATAGAACTATGTGCATTAGTCTCAGAATATAAAGTATTAGTACTATTGATATTAAGATTACAATAATCTCCATGGCAGCAACAAAATTTTGTATTATTCAATGCTTTAGTGGAGCTTTGAAGGGCAATGCATTCTGTTGTTTCACATTTTTGTTCACCAGACTGTTTCCAACAACCTAAATTATTATACATATATACATAAAAATATAATATCATAAAAATACAATATCATAAATTATTGAATGAATTATTATATATACCTTGAGATAAAATGATAATTTTAGTTCCATTTCCAGTCTTTTCCTCTTGCCATAATGCATGACAAAAATTAGTACATGTTTCAAATTTAATATTATCATTTTTCTGTAAAAAGTTAAATTATTTTATTTAAATATATCTAAGAACTAATTTATCTATAATAATATTATATAAAATATATTAATATTAAACTTACTGCAGTATGAATTATATTACTGTCATTGAGAAAATCTTCAGGTACACTAGGTGTATTTTGTTTTAATGGAAAATTTTCATTATTCTTTTTCCTGCTGGCACATATTCTAATGGCACTGATGGGTACTGAGTTTATCCCATATAGTAGTACGATGAATGTAATTGATACAATGGCTTTCATTGTGCCTCAGCAGGCCTCTTGAACTTGAACACTTCAAAGGAAGCGTTGCTTCTCAAGAACTGGCATCTTTGATTATAACATCATATATTGCTGCCATGTGCACAATATAATATATTCATCTGTTTATTATATATGATTCAAATATATTTATTATAATAATAATATTATTATAATCATGAGATTTTAAAGGAAAAGATAAAAACATATTTTTTTTTTAACAGAAATAAAAAAACTAATTTATTAAAAGATTGTTTAGATATTAAAAAATTGATATAAATACTAATAAATAAAAGAAAATAAATGCAAAATATTAATATATTACAAATTTTTATTCTGCAGAGGTAAAAGAAATTTTATTAGTAGTGCAAATATTAGTAAATAATATAAATTATAAATTTCACTGTAAGAATTTTCCTGTAAGAATTATTGCAGCGATAAGAGATACAATAAAAAAAAAAGAAGTAATCGCAAAAAATTAGTTTTATATAATTATACGAGAAAGACTGAAATTTTCATAGAATTGAATATGCTGCACATGTAGATGTATATAAAAAGAATCATAATACATGCTGTAAAAAAAATAAAGAATTACAAAATGAAAAAGAAAAAAGTTTCGCAGGATGCATTACAAGCAAATTAAAAGTGTACTTACATTTTAAGGAAGAGGCTTTTCAAATTTTTTAATTGAAAATTTTGAAAAAATATATCGAATATGAATAAAAACATTGCACATATTTGCTAAATAATATGAAAATTTTTTTTTTTTTATAATAAATATTGAATCAACATTAACACATTTGACATACAACCCGTATCCATTAAATTGTAATACATTCACGTGTTCGCAAAGACAACATAAAACGTCAGATTTGTATCATATAAAAAGCAATATTAAGTTGTTATTGATATTGTTACATAAAATATATATATATAAATACATATTGATTTATTAAATTTTTTTTATTTTTACTTTGTTTTAATTGATATGAAATATAACAAATATAAGAAATAATCTTCATTATGATATTCAATAATCAATATATTGTTGTTGGAACATTTAATATAAAAGAATAAAGAAAGTAATTTTCTATAATTTTTTTGTCAATAAAGTAAATTTTTTTTATATGTTAAATATAACTTTAAAAAAAAATTTAATAAAAATATTTGAAATAGAAATAATTAAATGATTAATTGATATGGTATCGATACAGTCGAAAACATCCAATAAGAGATTCAGTTTTACTTTAAGAGTTTTCAATCTATATTGTATAGATTCATATGAGAATATTCGTAACTGAAGACTCATGAATTGGCGCGCAGCGTCTTATTCTGCGTGTTTTTGATATTATATCGTGCAAATGGTGGCTTTCGGAATGTTTTGTTCAATGTTTCTTAAAAATTAATGAGTCTCATTGTACGTCGTGTATAATAGGAATAGAAATAGCGTTTGCTGTTTACTTCTGAACTGGTAAAAGTTTGTCGTCAACATGGTGAAGCTTCATAAGAAATTTTTTGCGGGTGACAAGGTTTTCGCAAAAGTTCGAGGTTATCCACCGTGGCCAGCAAAAGTAAGTTCTGTTATATATTTTATAATTATTTTTTATATTTTTGATGAAATTAATAATAATGAATATTTATATCAAAAATATTAATGATACTAACATTTTTAATTTTAATCTTATTATTTTTTTTTTTATATTGCGGTATTTTAAGACACGATATTGATATTAATATATTATTTAAAATCATGTTTATACGCAAAAATATATGATAATTTATATACATATATATTATAACGAAGAAATAGTAAATTATAAAATTTTTTTAAATTATAAGTTACAAAAACTAAATTATAAAATTTAAAAATTTAAAACATTTTTTTAGAATTTTGAATAAAGAAAAAATTTAATTAAATTCAACAATCTATAAATGAATATACTTTATAACATAAATAATTTCTCTTTTTTTTAGGTTGAGAAAGTTATTGATCCTAATTCAAAAAATTCAAAGTATAGTGTTTATTTTTATGGCACAGGAGAAACGTGAGTTTTTTTTATTATACTATGTAATTTTAATTATTTTATTTTTATATATAAATTGTGAAATAATATAGAAATTATATATTTATAATAATTTTTATATAAAATTTTTTAAAATAATATTAAAAGTTATATAAACATAATATATATAAAATAAAAGAATAAATTGAGATTTTTAAATATTTACTTTAGTGCTGTGTGTAAAGTGGAAGAATTATATACCTATATTGAAAATAAAGCAAAATTTGGCAAACCACTTCGAAGGAAATTTTTTCATGAAGGATTAGTACAACTAGAACAAGAGCTTAAAAATGATAGAAATAAAGCATCAAATCTTGCTGATCTTAAAGGTAAAATATATATAATATATATTATAATATTAATAAATATATAAAATTTGAAATATATATAAAATGCTATATATAAATTCATAATTTAATTTAATTAAAGAAGCGGGAATTGAAGAAACAAGAAAAGAAGGTGATAATTTACCGACAGTTAGTGCTGCAGATAGTGACATGGACACAGGATCTCTTGTTATTGATGAAGAAGAAAAAAAGAAATCTATGAAAAGGAGAACCTTTTCTACTGCTGTAATATATATTTAATTAATTAGATTTATTGTTAAATGTAAACATACATAACATATATGTATACATTTCATTAGGAGTATTTTCTCATTTATGCAATATTTTGTAAAGAAACAATTATTGTATTGAGCACTCCAATAATAATTTAGGAATTGCCGACAAATATTTATCAAGATTAAATAGTTTGTGCGATTGTTCCTTACATTTATATTTATATACAATTTATATTTAAAAAATAATATTTATATTACGAGATATTAAAAAATTTTTAAAAATTAGGATGCACCTGAAGTAAAGAAAAGACGCGGAAAAGCAAAATCTTTATCTGCATCTACAAGTGATTCAGTGAAACAAGATGCATTAGATTCTCAGGGAGAAGAATCACCTAAAGAAGTTGTAAGTCGGAGCGGTAGAAAAATTAAACCCAAACGATTTGCTGACTTTTCAAGTTCGGAAGAAACAGATATTGCAGATAAAAATGGTATATATTATCAGCTTTATCTAATTAAATTGATAGAATTTGATAAAATTTGATAGAATTCTTTTTATAAATATTTTATATATATTATTATAAATATATTGTAGAACATGGAAGAGGTCGTCCTAAAGTTAAGATTGAAGATTCTAATGATCAAGTAACACCCAGTACAATGCATAAAAAAAGAGCTTTGGAAAGTTAGTATATAAAAAGTATATAAAAATAATGTGTTATATTAAAATTAAATTATAAAGATTTAAATATCATATATTTTACAGAAAAAAATAATTTAGATGAAACACCTATGTTGGAAGGTACTGTGGTTTCTGGTGCGACATCTTCAGATATCCCCGGACGAGTTCTATTAGCATTAACATTTGCTGGTGAATACGTAGGAATCAAATTAGACATGGATAAGCCAAAATCCTTTGAAAGCGAAAAGGCTCGAGCACAATGGGAATGGTCCACTGCTAGAAATGCAATGAAAATGAAAGCGCAATTAGAAAGCGGTGAAATTTTACCAGAACAAATAAAAGATTATCTCGATTTTAATGTGCATGTTCCAGATGAAGAAAAACGATTGTTAGCAAAAGATGGTGCACTTCATCGTAAAACAAATAAACTAAGGTAATAATAAAAATAATATTAATTTGACAAAATTTTAGATTTTAATTATTAATTTCAGATGGCTTCGTATTGAAGCACAACTTTTACAATTGGATGCTCAAATTAAATCCAATCTTGGATTAGATCGAGCATATCCGGATAAGTGTTTGCAAGCAATGGATGAAATGTTATCACTTCCAATTGATCCCTTAATGTTGAAGAAACATCCACATATTGTCGGAACTGTTAAAAGGGTAAATAAAAGGAAATATAAATTATCATTTTATTATTCAATTGATTCGTTATAATTATTCTAATTCTATTCAATTCAATTTTCAGTTGCGAAGATATATTGGTAATTTAGCTGATTGGAAATTAAGTGATGAAGAAGAGGTATAATTTTTTTTTTTTTTTTTTTCGTAAAATATAAAATATTTTATATAATATTTTTTTTTATATTCCCCTTAAATTTTATTTATAGGCAATTTTCAAACAAAAAGCGGAACAAATTAGACAAAAGTCTGAGCATATATACAACAAGTTTAAAGTAAGATTAAGTTAATTTAATCTTTATGTTTATTAAATTTATATATATATATATATATATGATTTATACATATACATGCCTAATATATTTGATATAAGATTTTCTAATAAAATTTATTTTTATATAATTGCAAACTAAAATAAATAAATATATTATCATTTTCTTTTAGGCTATGTTTACTATACCTGAAGGGCAGTCATTTTGGCAATCATTTTCGGATCAGGTGGTTCATTTCAAAGAATTGACAAAGGATATGCCTGAAGAAAAAGTATTCTCTTTAATGTCCGATCCTGCTTGTCCAGGTAAAAATTTATAACACATTGATTATCAATTTAGTTTATTATTAATGAATTAAAAATTTTACCTATATGTGATTTGTAAAAAATATATATATCTTATTAACATAAATAAATATACAAAAGTATTATTTTATATTATATATTATTTTATAACATATTATAAACAATATGTTAAGTAAAGTATACTAAATATATATATATATATAACTGTGCGTGTGCGTGTGCGTGTGTGTGCGCGCGTGTGTGTATTTTTTTTTCATGCAAAATACAATAATAAAAATAAATAATACTTATAGATGCAACCATATCAGAAGATTTGCCTGCAGATGAAAGCGGTAGTCGACTAAATACAGATGCACCTGCGGTAGTTAAATTGGAAGTGCCTACAAGGAGCGAGACTCCAAAAGAGTCAGAGGCCAAGTAATATAGTGACTTTTTGTATCTGATAATGTGAAAATCATACTTACTTTTTTTTGTACTAATATAGTACATTACATGAGTGTCTTAAAGTCGAAAAAGAATTCACTTTTTTTGCACTTGAATATCACTTTTGGATCAATTTTGACACTACATTTTATTTTATGGGTTCTCTAGTAAATTTTCTCATTATCATAACTCATCTTTCTTGTAATATCTGTAACTAGGAAACCCATTATTATATGAATGAACAATCTGTACTCTGTACTCTGTTAAAAATGTTAAGAAGATTGTTTAATTATATAGTACCTAAGATTTAGAGTAGATGTCATTAATTATTTACTCTATTCAATAACATGTTTCTTTAATAATTACAATTTTTTTTGCGTTATTAAGGCAATACCAAAAAAGAAAAAAATATTTCTGAAAAATATATAGATGTCTTTGTTGTTTAACACCATACTAAATTTATCTACTTAAGTAACATCAAATACCAATGTACATATAAAAAAGAAAAATTGCAATACTCCTCTATATGTAAAAGTTAGAAACGTGACATACTGTAGAGGTCAATAATAATCATATAATTGGTTGATTTCAATGCAAATTTTCAATAACTTATTGAAATTAACGTTTTGCATTTTCAATCAAGTGTTTTCATAGCACTTTAAAGGCATAATTGAATATCGTTCAAATAAAAATAAAAATATATTGTTTATTATTTGTATAAAATATTTTTGAATCTCAGATAAAGATTTTTTTTTAAAATTCAAACGTGTTCATAAAGCTGCTACTGTTACTGGATTGTACAAATTAGAAAAATGATAATTTCTAAATACTTAAAAAAGAACACATAAAAGACTTTTATAATAACTTATATGTAATTTGAAGCTAATAAATATTTGTTCTAAATAAAATTTTTTAGGATAGAAATTTTTGAACTCGTATAGCTTATTGTTATAAAATTACAATGTAATGTAAATTATCTCTTTTATACGGTCAAAAAATTATAAATAAACATATTTATTTGCATCCAGTACTTTTCGTAATAGCACAATAATTGTTTAACCTCGCACACATTTATCGGTTCGTTTTATTTAAATTAAGTACAGTATTTATCAGTATCTTAATATAAATGTACTTTTGTAAACGTTTGTCGAAAAAAAGATGCTGTAAAAGTAATATTGTTAATAAAAACAAATTAATGTATTTTTTTCGTCGAATAATCAGAAAACCATTGTTACACTTATTTACTTACATTATTTACATTTAAGTTTTTTTTACATTTTTTTTAAGTTAATTCGAAGAAATGCCTTTGAAGTGCATTGAAAACGAAAAAGGTAAATAAATATTTTTTGTTTAGAGTTTTATGCTATTTTTAGTTGATTAATTATTTTTTTAATAATTATGTTAAAATTTATTGCGTATCCTTTAGAAAATAAACTGATAATAACTGATATGTTATATATTACATAAATATTATGATTGCTGAAAAGATAAATGTTTCTTTCAAAATGTTAAAAAACAAATATTTTGAATAAAAAACTTTCTGTAGATTTTGATGGCTCTTTTAAAGTTTTACAAGTTTCTTTGTATTTTATATGTATTATAATTTTTTTCTTATCTATGATTTTATCTAATTAGCATCGATCGCTTGTGATATTAGTAATAAACATCATATAAATTTTGTTGCATGCAAAGTAATGCATGTACTTTTAATATAATTTAATATTTAATGTTGTTTTTCAAATACGCTACTATAAAATAAACCGTAAATCATAAAATTGTTGCATTTGTGCGTTACGTTATTAGAAATGCAACAACCATTTTTTAAAAAAATGAAAATATCAAAAAATAAAAATAACGAAATTAAAAAAAAGTGATATTTGATAGTTACATACAAATGAGAAGAAGACAAAGTGCATTGTCCATAAATTTTCTTCTATATTTAAATATAAGTGAGAATATATATTTTTAATAGTACATACATTATTTTTTTCGAACATAAAAAATGGTAGATAAATCATATTGGTCTCGAAATATGCATCGGTTGACTTTGCTATTCTTTTTTTTCTTCAAATTTGTCGGTCTTGCCACATTTTCTTTAAATAATCAGAAAAATTTAAACAAAAAGAACTCGAAAAATACCATGTTTTTTATCAGTTCTAAACTGGGAATACTTTACAACTTGTTTGGCAGCTGTCTAATAATCGCATTGTGTTTTTACTCGATACCAGTTATACTTCATTCAAATTATATTCACAAAACAGTTGTTACAAATATCATTGAAATTTTCATAATAATATTAGGCTCTTTTGTTATGATTTCAACTTTATTATTTTATTGTATATTTCAATCAGTTATCGTAAAAATTGGAAATTATTTAATTAATATTGAGAATGTGTTGCGTCACTTGCAACAACCATTAAATCGAAAACACATTTTTAATGTTTTATTTCTCATCTGTTTATTTATGTTAATCTTATTTATCATTCTCTTGATTACTGAAATCAAAAGTTTCAATCCTGAACCAATACAACTAATTGGAAATATTATGCCATTGATCTTTGTAGCTTTGCTTTTCATTCAATATTTTTTTGTGCTTAATTTAATATGTGCAATTTTTGTAAAATTAAATTGCATTATACAAAGCTTTTGTCGAAGTAGATACGATGATATAAATTTAAAAATTTTGAATCAGACTCGATGTGTGTTCATGAGTTATTCAAGAATTCATCTTTTTATTCAAATTCGAGACATTTACGATCATCTTTGCGATATTTCCAGAGAAGTTTCAGACTTTTATTCTTTTTCTATTCTCATAGCACTCTTTTTTATTTTTTTGTTAATATTATTCAACTCTTACTATCTTTTTTTACTTTTTAACGGTGGATTCAATTTTGTACTTATTACAAATTCCATAATTTGGATAATATTGCCATTGTCTCTTCTTGCTTTGCTAACTTCGAAGGTAACCAAAGTAATAAATGAGGTAGGGAGATTTAAATTTTTTTTTTTTTTTTTTTTTGAAAATAATTATTCTGAAAATTTAACGCATTTTTTTGCAGATCGAAAAAACTGGATATATTATACATGTATTGTTAAATTGTACGATCGATCGAGAAACAAAAATAGAGGTAAAATGATATTTACAAATTCGATCGTCTTAACGATTTCGTTGTTTAATATTATGTACATCTTCTAGCTTGAACAATTTTCACTTCAATTGTTACATCAAAAAGTGAAGTTTACAGCGAATGGATACTTCACATTAGATAATACTCTTTTTCATTCGGTGAGCGAAAACTGGCCAATTATTATAAATTTTGTTTGAATGCGGCGAATATACATCATTTGATATTTTTTATTGTTAGATGATTAATACAGTAACCACGTATATGGTGATTTTGGTTCAATTTCAAATGGAAACTTCGAGTGAAAATGCTAAATTCTGCAATTGCACGCAACGCACATTATAAAACATAGTTATCTTACAAATTGGATACTGTGTTTCGATTTTTGATACTTAGAAACAAGATGAGAAGAGAGGATATATAGGACATGTATTATATGGGACATGTATAAGAATTCATTTCTCCGTTTTATCCAAGAACGTTTAGATAAATATAAAAACATTAAATATGTAAAATAAAGATAAATTGAGAGAAATGAATTTTATCGATAATCAATACTGTACTTTTTTTTTCTTTTCTTTTCTTTTTTTTTTTTTTTTTTTTAATCAGAATTTATCAGCAATTCCGTTAAAGAGGACTAATACATCGATTGCATGCATGGCAGCGAATTATATGATTGCAGCTGATTATATACATTGTTGCTCGCAATGAGTCTTCTCGCTTGTATGTGTTTGCACACCAATAATCAATCACAATTGTGTGCAATTTGTTTATCCTTTATATATCCAAGTACATACTGCTTAATTATTAACAAAATTATTCATTACACACTTTTCTATTTATGATGAAAATTAAATGATATCGAGAATGATGAACTTTAATATATATATATATATATGTATATATGTCTATATACAAAACAAATTGGTAATAAAACCTATAATTATTTGATGCTATACGATTACTATGCTTAAATTTATATTTTTATGCTTTCAACTTCGATCGATCATCATTATTTTTGAAAAATCTTTGGTATTCCATTGTGGTTATGCTGGACTAGATCTTCTAAATAATGCACAATATACACTTACGATATTTTTATAAAAAAGACGCAGTAAACATGTTTGCGATTTTTATAAAATATGCAAATTAAATGTTACTGCAATTAATATATTATCTAGCAGAATATCGTTTCACATCTCTTCATCATTTTATTAATTTTTTACATATATCTTTTAAAGAAGAGTTTCATTTATCTCGCACATGATATACAAAATGGTATTTTTTTTTGGTGTATCTTTAAAACAAAAGGCGTAAATAACGGTCTTTCTCAGTGGAAAATTTAATCACAACCAGTTAATACTTAAGCAGCGATTTAACGAACATATTTTTTAAATCATCATCAGAAAAGTTCGCGTATAGCTCCAATTAATGACTTCTTTCCCATTGCGAGCGTATACAGAACTGCAAATGATTTTTTTTCTTAAATATATACAAATACACGTAACATCAACACGAACGATTGCCTTGTTTCGTACTTTGTTGTAATTATATCAATGGAAATATTCCAATATATGTTGTATGAGGATGAGGCTTATTAATGTCCCTTATCATTCTTAGTCATTTAATTTACAACGTTTTTTTCACGAAATACAAAGAATTCAATCGTTCTTCATTTATCGACTTATCACGCAATTTTCGACTATATTTGTAAAGCCTTGGAAATTTAACGTGTATAATAATTTGATAACGTGTCATTTGAAAAATATCGTATTAAATATTCTCTTTTAATCTTCTCACACTAATCATTTCGCTTCCATCGATCGGGTCGAAAATCGGAGAAGAAAAATGACAACTTATTCGTGCAACGATCCGCATAAGTTTTTATTTAAATTTTTAAAAATCAAGATCGTTACACTTACTATGTGAAAGACTGCAGTATGATAAAAATCTCATTATTCGTTTCCCTTTCTTGAAAAAAAGGACATCCTTCAAGGGACGGCGTTATGGACATGGAAAAATTCAGTCATGCTAAAATTTTGATAAAAAATATGAAAAATGGTTCTCTAGTATTAATTCTTCCCGAATTTCATACAATTAAATTTCAGTGTAAAAAAGATGTACATTTATTCTATTAAATAATATTGATATTGTCGCTATTGGCCGGTATTATACGTATATCGAAAATTTTCAAAAAATACTCTTTAAGAATTTGGATAAAAACCAATCGAGTTAAAAAAAAGTTATTAATATTGCATAATTTGTTGGTCAAGGATGAATTTTGTCTATCTTTCGACTTTCTTTTTATGATCGAGGACATGTTGCATTTCGGCCAAGCTTCTCTACGAGACATCCCTCGAAGGAAACGTCGATATATCAAAGGGGTTTTCTTGGCATAGTTATCATGGGCACGAACTATCTTTAATTCATATAATCGTTAAATTACACGTTATTGCACACTGACAAGAATATTTTCATCAATAAATTCATGATTCAATAAATGACAACAATTCACGCATCAAATTATCAGTGAATCGAATCTTAAAGCTAAAACATTTTATTTTAAATTTTAATCATGTGCGTTTCTTCATTTTCTTCTTTTTTTTTCTTTTTTCTTTTTTTTATATGAATAAAATACGTTCATGTTAGTTACAATCTAGATATATGTCAGTGGCACTCATTAATTGCACTCGATCAAATTACAAATGCAATGAGATAAGATAGTCTTGCATGCGATTTTATTCTCTGTAAAAACAAAAAAAAAATTATTTTTCACTTATTTTTATCGCTGTTTAAACTTTCATATAGTGTTCCACATGCTTCAACTTGGTTATTGTTCTCGTGATAATTTTCTTTCAACGATTCACCATAATTGTGTTTGTATCTTGGCTGGCAATAACGCGTACGATAAAAATTAAAACATATTGTATCGATTAATTCGTAATGGAATCTTCGGGATATTTTAACGATTAAAAACGATCTCGCGAATCGTTCCCAGTGTAGCGTTGTTTTCGTTAAACAGAAGTCTCGGCCGAAGTAGTGCCGTTAATCGTTAACGGGCTGATGCTTTCCTTCGATCGTATCAAGTCTACCTGAAACGATCAAACCAAATATTTCGCATAATTTGCCGAAACGCATCAAAGACAAGCCAATCGTTTTAAACAAGCATTTAACGTACATGAAAATCGTTAAAAATTTTTTGAAATTTAGCGGAGCATCGAATACACTGAACCGTGATGGCAAATATTCGTTTAAAAATTGAATTTAAGCATATGTTATTATATCAAAACTATGTCACACGCAGATTACATTATCGCAACAAATAATATCGTTTTTTCGTACAAAAGTTCATGCAAATAATAGAATTAATCTACGATGCAACGATAAAGATCGCAAAGTGCAAAGTGAAAATTAAAATTAAAATATTGTAATATTAATATAGAGAACCGAGATCACAGATTCATCGAAATCTTTTCTGCTGCTTCTTATTTTGGTACTTATTGACGGATATTGCATGCTGCAACTTAATTATGCAACGTGTAATACAATCGAAAGTGGATCCGAAAATAGATCTTCTTTTCTATCGGAATCGTCATGGCTCCTAAGAAAAAAATCTATATCTAAAAGACGACTCCGTTCGAGGGTTCCGTGCAGCCCCCTTTTATACTCTTACTCACACAGTAGCGTACATGGGGGTATGTTGCATGCCGGTGTATTGGTGCTCTTGCTGTGTGACTTGCCATGTGATTTATCGGTTTGGTGATGGTGGTGGTGGCTAGAATTTAGAGTCATTTACGTTTGTCACCTTGATAGAGATCCCACTGTCATCTTCATCCTCTTCGGTCATCGTAGTCAGCCTCGTAGTCTCGTCGGCCATCAACAAGTTATCTTTCTTCGAGTGCTTTTTTTGCTTTCCCGCGCTAGATTCGAATCAATTTATCAATGTCACATTAAACCACTGAATGGTAATGGATTACTTCAGCTAAATCAGGTAAACGTACTTGATTAGTTTGACTTGTTTCATTTTCTCGTTGCCTTCATTTACTTGTTGCCAAATCCCTGTCTTATTCACTTCTTCGCTGATATTGATGCTCGCCATTGGAATTTTCATAATGTTGCCATTCGCCAATGAGATTTGTATATTACCTGATGGACCATATCCGATTGGATTGGATTCGTTTTGTTCCTGAGAGACAGATTGTAAATTCAGCTTCAATGCTTAAATCTCGTTAATTTCAAGGAGAGAAAAAAAAAAAAAAAAAAAAAAAAAGAAAAAAAAATTAAGCCATGCATTGAACTCAGCAAATCTCTTTGTACTACCATAGATTTTGGTATTCCATAGACTTTGAAGAACAGTGGATTTAGGTGTAAAAAAAAAAGCGGTTATTTTGGTTAGCATCGTTCGAGCTGGAAGATGAAAAAAAAAAAAGTGAAATTTGCATTCGGCTGAGAACGAGCAGGTGTCGCGTGGAATAAATAGCCTTCGTGACTCGTGCAGAGCCGAATCGCCTCAATCATTCTATTATATTATTCTTTTTATATACTTATTTCATTAATTCATGATATTATAATTACACTACCGATAAAACGAATCGCTGGAAACGATGGTCGAGATCTATGCCATCATTGCCACGATCATAAAAAATATATAAACACAGTGCACGACATCTGAAGTTCAGCGTAAAGGTGTAATCTTCAGCAGGGATGTAGATACAAATGTTAAAAATTTTCGATGCTGAGGAACTATGGACGTGCGCTTATGGTCACGTACCGATGACAGCCGCAGGATTCGACGACCCACTGGATACCTTTATGTCTCTGCCATTCTTTCATTTCCTCATAGATTTCTCTCTCATTCTCCGATTTTCTGAAGATTTTTTTATCTTTTATATTTTTTTTTTTCTCTCCCCCTTTCTATCCCCTCGAAAATTATATATTTCTCTGTAACTGTGTGTTCTTTAATTTGTGATGTTTATTTGATCTTGCTTCTTTTAAAAAGTATTTCGAGATTGAATGTCTGTTAAAAAGGAGGAGATATTTGATCGCTATTGCAGCGAGAAAAGATTTCTGTTCGATATCGAAGATCCATCCGATTCTAATGTATAATCTACGTGTATCTTACACGTGTCGGAGGAGTTTGGTGATTACATGCAAACAAAGTGTATGTTAATTGTATATTGTGTGCTGAACGTGTTGATAAATACTAAGGAAAAGTTGGGATTACAGATAGATTTGTGTGTGTTCTTAAACAACGATGTATTTTTCATATGTAAAGTAGGCAATGTGTTCGATGATACATTAAGCCGATACATCATGTGTCTCGAAAGATAATCGAAACATTGACTTCGTTATAGTTTTCCGTGTATTGTCGTAAAATGATTTTTCAGAAACTTAATAAAAAAAAAAAAAAAAAAANAAAAAAAAAAAAAAAAAAAAAAGAAAAAAATTTATCGTGTTTTTTCAATAAAAAAACTTATGTCAATAATGATCATACTATGATTAATTTCATATGAATTTTTCGATGATATAAATATCTTTGATAAATATACTTTCATCTATAATCGATATAATTTAACTACAATAACAAATTTATCTAGGTTTTAAAATAATTGTATCCAAAATGATATCATTCGAACGATGGTATAACTATTACATATAATTAATACTGGTCAGACCGAGTATTTTAACACGCGCAATTACGTATGTGCGACGAGATAATTATTTTAGTTGTAAACGTTATGAAACCATCGGAATACATATCTATCTTTTTCATTAATTTTTGTGCAGGCCATCCTCGTCATTCAGGCACATTTAATGGCAAATTATTATTGCTTCGATCGGAAAGACATTAACGAGAACAGCGAAAAGAGGACATATGGCGAGGAGTATTGTTTCGCTAGAACACGCGTAGCAAAATTTAGGCCACTTTCATACGATCAATCGTTAAAATATCGCGTTCTTCTTCGTGTTTCCGACAAAATGTGGACTCGTCGCAGACAGTTACCGTGACCACGGGGCAAATATTAGCCACGCGATCACTTTTTGTGTGCTATTTACGACCAATGATGATATTTAGTATTCGTCTCACGGTGCTAACCTCGCCGTTCTCCAATTGACGAAGATCTTCGGCATGTTTTTTGCTTGGTTCCGGCATTATATCGTCCAGGATCTTCAATTCCCGTTGCGTGAACATCAAATCTAAGGACTTGCGTATTCCAATCATCACCATCAGCTGCGTGAAATATCATTCGAGTGAGAAAAAATAATAAAAAATAATAAATAATAATAAATCATATAATATTCCTATAAGATAATAAAATACTCAATCAATATATTAAACATCGTTCTTGATTTATCATCGTTTGATAAATATCTAACCATCAAAGGGAAAAGAATGGAAGTACTGCTGAAGGATTTGATGATCCACAAACAGGCTAAACAAGTCAATTGTATCGTTGTAAATAGATGTACGCGTTTCAATGGTACCTGAAACATTTAAATCGTGAAACATTCGGATCGCACGAACAATTATAAATACTTATATATTTTAATTATCTCACCTGTCGAAGGAACATATAATCGGGTTGGTATTTAACCGGCATCAACATAATTAAAATTCTGTCGAAAAATTGAAGTCCTTTCAATGAAGCGACTCCCATATAAAGAAAAACGCCAAATAATACCGGCATAGGTATGTGTCTCAACATTGGTGTGAGTAGGACCGAACAACCGATCATCAAAAAGATTAAAATATGCGTTACTCGCTGCTCGCGAACACCAAGGAATCGTGGTTTTTCTCCTGGTGCGGCGCATTCCGATTCCAGTTTCAACGAGTTCACATGATTAATCGAAAGCACCGTTGCCGCTACGAACCAGGGTAATCCCATTACCGAGCAAATTTCTATCAGAATCGCGAGAACGAATAGATCCAAATGATAGCCACATCCTTTCTAAATACGAACAATACAATTTATGGATTTGGAATTTTTTAATAATACTTTGATCGTTTTTTTAGAATCAAAAAAACTTGCCTTTAATTTATTCTCTTTCCTATTTACTATCACGGCTGTGATTTGTTGATCCATAAAAATCAATATAGTACCTAACAGAGCTGGCAGACTTGCAACAATAGCGCTCCACCATGGATTACTTTGAAAAGGCCAGATTATCCATCCTCGATCGGCCAACGTTGGCTTGAATTCCGTTGGTACCTCGAGTTTCGGCGTCGGAATATTCGCGAAATGATCGAGAGTACTCATCGAAAAAATTGCTATTATCACCGCGAAATCACTAACGACTTGTCTGACCTACATTATACACGCGAAGAGATAAAAAATCGATGGTAATTGGTTTTACGCGACGCGTAAACGTATCTATACCTTCGATGGAAAGAAGAGAGCGTTCTTGAAGTCTTTGAGCTCAACGGATAACAGAAATGTGCCTATGAATAGTATAATTGACATGAGGAACACATCAGGTATATAGTGTGGTAAGTTGCAACCATCGCCCACTAGCGTACCGTTGTAATTCTGAAAGAAAAACGATTCATCAGTGGTATAACACTGTGTCGAGTCAGACACGGTCTTGAAATCAAGCTGCCGTTGCAGCAGTTTGTAATTTCGGCTAACGAGTAGTTCAATGCGTGACGTTCAATTAACCTGGCACGTTTTTTGATCGAGCGCCGTCCAATTAACGTTGTCGTAGCTAGACGGTAGACTGCCATTCGGCGGCCTACACCAACACTCGTAATCGAACGGATCGTTTGCATGGGTATTAATAGGATATTTCTTGCCGATGGACAATACGTTTTCAATGGCCTGAAATATAGAAATTTTTACTTGATTATATAAAATATCCTCTCTAAATCCTGTATTAAAAAGCTGATGGATTAAATTAAAGCTTAAGCTAGTAAAGCTACTATTCGATTTTAGCCACCACTTTCTCATCAAGATCGAGGCCAATCGAATCTTCAAGTTATTCAAGTTTCGAAGCCCGCGAGAAGCGCTTCGATTAGAAGCGTATATCTTGCAATTCGTGACCCAAATGCAGGCGATTTCGCTGATGATGCGATTCGCGAAGCACATACAGTTATATCCCATCCAATTAAGTCGCATCGCGTTAGAAGGACACGGTTGCGCAATTAAGATCCACCAAGGTAACAAAATTGCAAAATAGTCGAGATATAAGAATCGATTACTTACTTTGTAGATGAAGATAAACGCGATCAGAGTGGCGAAGTTTTCCTCTGTGAAACGTGTGATGTAGCACACGAAAGCACTAGCGTCGATCGCTACGAGAATTACCAAAATTAAGGTTATCCATGAGCCGATCCAAAAACGGAACGACATGTAGTTCCAATCCGATTTCCTATGAGCATACACAATTTCGTTACGCCAACGAGCAACGCCTTATATCGTAAGAACTCACTTACTTGCAGAATTCATAGACTATCGTCTCGAAGACTAAAACGGGACCGGTTGAGCCGAGGATGGTTAAAGGTTGTCCAGAAAAAAATCCATATCCGATACCGCAAACGAAACCAGAAACTAACGACTCCATGGCGGCCATATTTTTTCCCGTAGCCTCGCCCAATAAACCACCAAATGTGATTATAGGCGAGAGACAGGCAAAGTATAGGAAGATAAAAGAGGCTACGCATTGAAGAGCCAACGCGTCTTTGAAATCGGAGAAGTAAAACGGCGCTTTCCTCTTGATATCGTTTATCAAACCACCGAAAAGCTTACCAGACCTCGAGAGTCCGGATTCTTCCCTCAATTTTTGTTCATCAGCTTCTTCGTCCAGTTCTTCTTTCGGTTTTTCTTCTTTTGGTCGTTTTCTTACATCCTAAGCAAATTGATTATTAAAATGAATTCCTGTAAATATTAATTCACGGATCGTTCTTCGTCTGATCGTATATCGTACCTGCGAAGGAATGGCAGCAGGCGGTTCTATTCTGATTGCAGGATCCCATTCTCCTGGTGGTAGAACCGTGACCGCGTCCAAGAACTCGTCAATTCCGGCGAGAAGATGATTTCTGTTCTTCGCCTTGTAAGCCACATCGTGGAAGACCTCGTCAGACATTAAAGTAGCCATTGCACGACCAATCTCGTGGAAACCTGTGAGCCCTCCCTAAAAATCCATCGTATCGTTATTCCATCTAACGGATTCCATCTAACGGATCGATTAATTTATTTATCTCGTGTTTCGCTATGATCGATAACCGAAAGATAAAACAATTATCAGGAAAACACGACAAATGATTGAAATGAATTGGAGAATAGAGACAATCTCAAATGATATTTCTCGTTCAAGTTAGGTAGAAATTGTTTTGTGTATCGGACCCTCGAGATCGAGAATAGTTCAGGCAATCAGCGTGCTCAATTACTTCGTTAAAACGTTAATTACTCGAAAGGAGCTTTTCATCGAGTTACCCGAGAATCTACATTTCTACCCGATAGATATACACGATTGTTCTACTTTCAATGTTTCGTCGTATAATTCCGATATCCGAATTCGAATCGATTTATACTCAGACACGAATTATTATTTTCTTTGTAAAAAATCTTTGGAAAAATCTTACCGTTGGTCCAAGCAGAACAAATATAAATCTCGTTGGCACAGGAACTTCCGTCAAATCACCCATTATTCCAGCTTGGCTCAATCGAATGAAAGCCGATAGAGTTTTATCTAAAAAATCGACCTCTCCTACGAGAATATTGCTCGCCTCGGCTCCCGCTGGTATCTTCCGCATAAAATGCGTATTACCCTGATGAAGAATAAAGAATTATTCGACAGTGGGAATCAATTCGATCATTAAAAATTACGAACCTTGTGATTCGCATCTCCATTTTCTAAGGCGGACGAACTGTGATTTCGGCTAATTGACACGCTACTCGGACTTCGATCCATTCCGTTAGGGCCTGGTTCTTGGCCTGAAAGAGATCTAGCTTACCGCCTACTGCGTCTTTCCAAGGTAAAATTAAACGAGAAGACGAGAAGGCGCGTAGGCATTATAATCGAGGACTACATATTTTTCCGTTTCCTCTCAATTATCATTTCTATCCAAGACCATTAAAAGTTGGATAGCGACCTACATTCGCATGTCGAAAGCGTTTCCCAGTTGCAGGAATCCAATATCAAAGATTTTCCAGAATTTCTCTTATAGGCGATATACGGGACATAGTAGATTGCTTTTACTCCCGTTTTTTTTTTTTTTTTTTTTTTTAACATGAACGTTAATTTTCAATTCAAAGATATATTGCACGAAAAATAAAATTGTGCACGAACAATTTTTTTCTATTAAATGTCAAGACCACGTTGCACAACCCTTTCGAACGGTAACCAATACGGTAAAACTTTTCCGATAGATTGACCACGCAGCTGCAAGCACTCGAGGACAGAGTTGATTTTGTTTTTCGTGTTCTCACTTGCTCTCGATAATCGTTTGTCGATATAGAGGGATGTTATTTCGAGCGATGGTACCAGTAATGGTACTCTATAATCTGAATCGTTGGATTCCGACAACTCACGACACTATTCGTCACACAGATTTTCAGGAATATATGTCGCATATATATGGTATAGTTGTATAATTGCTACGGAAAATCTACAAGGTCACGAGATGATTATCCGATGTGTTAAAGAGTTAGAAGAGAATTGCAAGCACGATAAAGCAACAAGGAGATTACCAGGTATAGCAAGGAAACGGCTACCCGCATTCAACGCTGGCCCACTGCCGTGACTTGTTGCGCCGGCGATCGCCGGAGCGGAATTCGATTCCTCCACTAAAAATGAGCATGAAACATACACCAGGATCGTCCTTTATTTACAAAGGAAGGGCCCAAGAAGGAAGAAGAGGAAAATCCCATTTCGTCGATGAATTACGTATCGCGAACAGTTGCGTCTCGAGACTCGCTCGAAATCACAACTCGTTCGCGATAATTCGTAATTTGTAGTAGTTTTTTTTTTCTTTTTCTAAATAATAATCAAAATCGCGAAGAAATGAGAGGAAAATTAGTCGAAACTCTGAAAAGATAGATATTAGTCGATTAAAAAAGTGTGACAGTAGTACTAAGTATGATATCGAGTTAAAAGTATACATTAAGTCATATCGTGCATATTATACAATTAGAACGTAAGATCATGCCTCGTGATTAGTTGAATTGTAAAGGTTTCACCTACGCGTTCCCGCGATCGTGCACTTCCTCTGAATCGTTTCTACTTTACGATCAGGAGAGAACATGTATCGCTTGTAGTATTCCCGCGAATCCGTTGCTGCGTTAGTTACGGTTGCAGTAGTAATAACTGATATTCGTCAGACACGAGCGTTCTTTCTGAATCGGTTTTCACGATCCCGACCGATAACAAATCCACTCTATGCAATATTTAACTACTGTAAACATCGAAAATTCCACAGAGGAAGGAAAACGAAAATGGAGGAATAAAACGACGTGAGCGTCGATAAAGAGATGTTAATCGGGAGATATTATGTCATTACATTTCATAATATGTACAAAAGAGTGGAAAAGAGATAGAAAAAATACAAACTAAATATGGAGAGAAATACAAAGTGTAATAATAATTATAACAAGAAAACGAAAGACATTGATTTTTATACTCTATCAATTAAAATTTATATGAACAATAACCACCTGACAGTCTAACCTTTTAGTTGACACATCGCGAACCATGTTGTGAATCCGACCACGTGGGGAATGCCGAATTCGTCTGATTGAAAAATAAGAAACAAATGTGAATATCTTATACCACGATCGAAACGAATTAAAAAGGATGGATTTATATATCCGTTTCAATCATTTTCTTTTATACCGTGTTAAACCAAATAAGTTGCACGAATTTTGGCGTTTGCACGTTTATACAAATCGTCCGTGGGATAAAAATTGGTATTGATTAGTAAGGTTAAAACTAATTGTTGATACATGAGGAGGATTGAACACAGTTGGATAATAAGAAGGAACGTTAGAAAGCTGCGAAAGCACCGTAACCCAAGGCGATCTAGGCTGCTATAACAGTCTAGCCTATGTTATACCTGGAACCAGAAGATACGGTCCTTTCAAATCTTTCGTTTCTTTCGAAAGTAGAGCTGTGTTTGGATTTGGACAACTGCTGCTGCGAGCGACGGAGGGCGCGTAGGCGTCCCTACCGCGACGCTCCTGTAAATCTGACGTCAACAACGCATGCAAACCACACGTACAGTCGTAATCTGAAAATGTCCAGTACGTTTTGCATGCGTTTAATGTGAATTGACCTTGGAAAATGTGAAATGGCATCGGATACTTCAGATATCAAGGTCCACATACCGTAGATATATGTCCGATTTTTGTTCAACTTTGGCATATTAATGAATAAAAATAATAAAGTGGTTAAATATTTGGAATGGATGTTGGAATTTACAGAAAAACAAGATAAATAAATAAACAAATAAATAAATAAATAAATAAAATACGAAAAAAAAAANAAAAAAAAAAATATTTAAACGAATCGAAATAATCGAAGGATTATTTTTAATTTCTAAAAGATTTCTAAAAGATCGCACATATAACAATTAAATATTAATATTCATATGTTTAATAAAAATAATTATTAATATATTTAATAAAATAGTTAATCAAATTAAACTTGATTAAAAGTTGATGATAGCAAACTTACTCTTCGAAGAGGAATGATTTCGACCTATTTCGGCCAATGATCTGATAATAGGTAGCCTAGACATGTTGTTATCTTTACGTCTCTCGTGTTGATGCCGATGCCTCACCAGAAGAGCTTCCCTGACCTGCTCTCCAAATACTTTTCTCGTTAGAATTTTCACTTAAATGTATTACAAGAGATATAGAAAGATGACTCATTTATCTATGAGTTATCTACTCCACGAGTCTCCCTTTTCTCGTACCTTTTCTCTCGACTCGGCCGGCAACGAGCCTTTATTGATCATATTATCGAGAACCAAATCAGCAATCTGTTCAAGACTGTTCGCTTCCATGTCCAACATCACGGTCCCATTTAACAGCAAGCTCCTCAATTCGAAGAGGGCGTGTAGCGAGAGAGTCGCTACGTGTGGTTTGCTCCATCTATTTCCACCCTCCTCGACATCTTCCTCAAATTTGATCCACCTATGGTTAAGATGAATATATTTATCCCGGGAAAAACAAATTTTGTCGTTATCTGGAATAGAATTTAACAAGGGAATAAGATTACCTGGCTGTTTCCTTCCATTCCATCTCGTCACCATCCTTGACGAGCTCCTCCATCTCGGAGAAGAGAGGATGGGATTCGTGTGCATCGTCGCCAACTTCTTCGCCCAGGATAAATTGCACCCTCTGGGCTGGGGGTGTAACTGTAATTTTAGACATTGCTTCGTGAACCGCGAATTTCTTTATTGCATGAAGGAAAAAACGAACGAAACATAGATAAGAATTCGCGTGTACATGTAGTACAACTACTCGTTCGATTTAAAATTGCTTGAAATGACGTTGAGTAGCGATCTTCAAATATCTTAGAATAATCCGTAGAACAATTTCGAACATCGAATGATTTTGAGATGATTTTGAATCAACTTTGAAACGATCTTCGTACAACTTTGGGATGACCTGAGATGACTCTGAACGACTTTTGAATGACATTAATATGACAAAAAGATTTCGAGATTACACATTACACATAACACATGGTATGATTTTGAACAATTTTGTTAAATGATCCTTGGTATATATTTTATAAATGTATTTTTTGTCAATGCAACGACGTTCTCTGTCAGCTAAAAGCGCATTGCCTCCAGTAACAATAAAAATATGTTGTGCATATTGTTAAATAATCGGGAAGAAACGTAAAACATACATAATTCACAGAAGGTTGAAACGTTCGCCTTTAAAAACGCGAATCGTTTAAAGGGTGAGTCTTTGGAAAAAACTTTGAAAAAATAGAACAATATTAGATCGAGCAGTGCAGAATGATCAACGCAAACTTTTGCGTGCACAATGACGCATGAACACATGCACACGTCTAAGAAAAGTGTTGGAAACGGAAAATACATGAAAACCAGATGTACACAAAGAAAATATACATTTTCTTTATCGTTCCTTTGAATAATTACAAGCTGTTCTGTAATTACCGCATGAATCATAAGTGAAATCGCGTGTCGATATCGAAAAATATTTAATGAGATCATTCGTATTTCATTCGATTTAAATTGTTACGAAATATTTTCCGTGAAAAAAAAAAATATATATCGCAAGACTATATCTGCATTAATAAAAGATAATATGCATTAATCGCATCCCACTAACTATTGTAACGCTCTTTATATAACAGTAATAAACAAATTAATGATACATGAGTCACACAAGTTATACACAGAGCGATTTGATCTGATAAATATTAATCTTGTTCGAGATACATCACGCTATAACGTGAGATATTAACTACGAATCTAATCGAACTTAAATACCATCCCGCCAAATTGACGAAGCGATTGCAACAACCTTGACGAGATATCCTTGAATGGTAATTAGTTTACGTAGTTTCTTTCAAATCAATGGCTCATCGCCGATAGTATATTTAAATGATTAATGTAAGCAGTAAAATTCTGACGTATTTAAATATAAATCACGATATTTTTCAAACTATCTTGATATTCACGTACGAATGATCTCTTGGTAAATGTGTCCGTGTAAATAGTACATAAAATTTTGTTGCGTGTTAAGCTTACGTATCATCTCGCCGTCGGGATCGCAGATACTAGATAGTCGACTCCTTCGAGTCATCAGCAATTGTCCTGAAACGTCAACGATACAACAAACATTGACGCTTAATGCAATTTCGATTCTCATAATTACTCTCTTCACAATTTGATATTTCACGATGATTCGACGCAAGCGTCGTTTTATTTTTCTTTTTCAGCACGATCATCTCCTCAAATCTACAATCTGGAGCCAGATTTTTAATATTTATACGAAATATTGCGACGTAAATTCGAATAGGATTAAAAATCTCGATCGCAACACATTTTCCCGAATACCAAAATGGATAGAGATTAAAAACAACCGTGGCAAATCTAGATAGGTAGCCGACTTTTTATTAAAGTCAAACAATGAAAAAAACAAATAAAATTTTCTCAACGAAATATCAATCGAAAAGCTCTTTCCGAAACCCGAATTTCGTATCGTGTCAACCCGTTTTCCATAAAAAACAGAATAAATAACGCTTTCTACTATTCGCTCGCAAAGGGATACAAAGGATGGCTGCACGATATCTCTCGAAGGGCTGAGGCCCTTGTCGAGTCTCGATATCGGTCACCCTCTTGCATCCCGTGTGCCAAAGATAGGGTGAACAGCCGGAGAAGTCGTGACAAGTGGTTGGCTGGTTGCCATATACCGTTCAATAATGCCGCAAAGTGCAACATACCATGGAACGTTTACACGCGCACTCTACGCTAGCTACTTGAACGACACGGCCACCGCTAATGGGAATGAATCAACGGTGGGAATAGTTTTCAAAGTGATACGGTTCGTTTGAGAGTGCGCCTTCGTCATCCAACAGTTTCGTTTTACCGTCATCCTTGTCGTTTCATTTTTTATCTCTAACAATACTTTCGCGAAAGAAAGCGCGCGGATCTCCTCGCTATTCCGCGATCTTTAATTTGGAACGGCGTGGCAAACTTTTAGCGGTCGGAACATCCCTATTTACGTCGATCGAACGAAATAGCCGAGAAGCTGGTGAGAATTTCCAGCTCTCCTCGTGTCTCGAGTTGGAGAGGCTTTCGCCGTTTAGAGTAGATCTTTTCGAAGCAGCACGAGAGCGATTAACCGAGTTCGGTGTAAAAGCGGCGCGAACTACTTTAACCTCGAAAACTCGTGACCTATAAGAGACATTTGTCTCTCGTTTCTATTCGCGGTGGTTATCGATTATCCGGCGTATGTCGTTCCTCCCTTAGCCAAAGAGAAACAAAATGAGAAATCGGCCGAGACGAGATTAGATTGGCCCTCGCGCGGGTAGCGTATTAATCGAAACGATGGGCGTGGATTTGTCGCGATAGAATTTTATGGATTGGCTACCAATATTGAGAAACGAGGGGGGGAAAAGTAGTCTTGTTGCTGGAACACGATCCGATAAGTAGACGGAGCGAAGATTGCGACGTGGGAAAAGATGAGAGTAAAAAGCAAGAGATATATGGAAACAGAAATGCAAACGTCGACAACTTACTGGGCCTATCGTTGTCGACATTATCCTTATCGGCACTGTACGTTTGACGTTGAGAATGATGGTGCTTGTGATGACGACGATGTCTCCTTTCGCCTGGTAGATGCACGCCCACATACACCGTGTGCGCTCTGTGACCTGGAAGCAGATGAAAGAGAACTCGCGTCACTGGCTCCTCGAATCGACGTTCCTATGATTATCGATAATAAAAATTCATACAAGCGAACAGAAACAGAAATTCATATTATCGTCTTTTCTCTACAAGTACATATTTCCTCTGTATCTTTGACATGGACAAATATTTGCTATCCTGTTGCCTCTTTAAATTTCCATGTTTCTTAAATCTCTTAAAATAATCGATACTGATCCACGTTGTTAAAAGCCTGTCAAATAATCGAAATCGACTCGATCGTCGAATATCGACGATACAAGATCGCATCGGAACAGGTGACCTCGAATCCGATGTTCTACGCAGACGAGAATCGCGAATATTGGTGAACGAAATAATGATTTTCGAAGCACCAGCAACGCGTTTTTATGAGCAAACAACGAAGCCAGATCTGTGTATCCAGCTGACCTACGCATGAACAAATATTATCGGGCTGATTAAAGCGTAAGGATGCGAAAGGAGATTTCGATCATCGACCGAAAGAGTTTCTTATCGGTGAGAAAGAAATCGAAAGAAATTTAGATACCTTCGTAGTCTTTCTCGGTGAAAGGTTGATGAGTGATCCGAACACCGGGATCTTTCGGAGCTTCGTCGTCACCTGTCCCACCTGTGTGGGCCGCGCCACCTCCACCTCCGATACCCGGCTGCATCCACGGTCTAAAAAATAAATCCAACGCACACGTCAAATCAATATGATTAAAATAACAACAAATTTTGAGAAAATCGTTCCAAAGTTTGAAATCGATCATCCGTCCCAATAATATAATCGTATCCCTCTACGAAAATTGAAACGATGTTACCTTGGATCCGCCGCAGTTGCAACCAAGATTAATTGCAATTTTCAAAAATGACTGATTATCGAAGCGGTATCCGCGTCGACTCGTCAGCTTCGCTAACAGCTCTCGAATATACGCGACTCTGCGCGAAAGTGACCGATAACGTGTAAATCGTTCCCCCGAAATTGTCTTTCAGCGGCGTTTATGAAGGAAAAACGCGCGTGGGATTTGTGGAATATGTGCGGAGACGGTCGTCTGCTCGCGATTACCGGCGATGCACACGCGATTTTATAATAATTAAACTTCCTCGACGGGAAGTACTTTATTTGCAGCACGAGCATGCACGTTCTCTTATTTCCCTCTTCTCGCTTACTTTCCAATCAATTTTTACACGTTGTATCGTAAACGAAATTTATTGATTATTTCAAACAGAGCAACTTACGACGAACCACTCTTCAACGATCCCTCACGATCCATATCTTTTCCCTTACGAATTTAATTGTCCACGGCGTAGACTCGAATCGCGATAATAGTTAACAATGCCTCACGTTTTATTCGCGAAACAATAGAAGGAGTTGCGTGCGATTCCGCATCGCATACGGATCGTCTTTGATTCCTTCGAATTCGATTCGACTTCCAATTCGACTCGCGTCATCTTCGCGAGATAAGCGGGGATAAGGTGAAAACGCGCGATATCCGGTCGCGTTAAAGAGACGTTTGTTTTCGAATCGATACCACTCATGAGTAAACGGAAAAATTGCACATTGTACCGTGAAATTCTAACAAGTGAACGAAAATTACCGAGGAGGGACACTGTTACTCGATTATGCGTAATCAGTTGACACGTGCGATCCTAAACACCGAGGCCGATGATTACTAAGCCGAAACAGTTTCGTTCGAGACGTGTGTCGCAGATGTATCTCGCGTAATAAAACATCGTAAAAAGCGCGGCTCTTTTGGGACGATACGATTTTTTCGACTACGCAGATCCACCATGTTCGAAGAAGGATAATAATGATAACAAAGATGTTTAAAAACTCGACGAGGAGACGCGAATTTACGAGGGAATCGTGAACGTTTTGCGTTTTACGAAGAGCTTTAAACATCGAGACTCTATGCGACGTACGATCCTTTTTACGAATTTTTGAAAACTTATTCTTGATTTCGTTTAAAACTTTCTTTCATCCTCTTCGTTAATATCGTTTTTCCAACTTTTTCGCAATATCGTTGTTTGCATAATACGTGTTGGGATAAATTACTTTATAACGTACAATTTACACTTTACGATTTAATACCGTCGTAAAAATGACGAGGAAATTAATTCGTAACGCAATGAATTTGAATGATTTAAAAGGCTATTGAAAAAACTTGTATATACAAAGGTGTATGTTGCAATAGCTAACCATTAACGTGAGAAAATATAAAGTTCATTATCGAATTATGTGTACAAGGATAGTTATTATTTCATATTTACCATAATATATTTTGCGTATGTATTGCTATTGTTTTCTCCTTTCGATAATTAAATCATAATTTTGAACGAACGAAAAATCAGAGGAAAATGGATCAAAATTCTTGTTTAATTCTCATTTTCTTTTGAGATTTTTCTTTCTATCTCCAAAACCAAAAATAGAGAGTGTTAAAGGAGAATCTTTTATCTTTCAAAATCGTAACTTTTATAAAATCATCATAATATATATTTATGATGAAATGAAAGTTTATTTTCTAAATCTCTTACACCTTCCTTTTTTGCCATAAAAAAAAATGATAAAACTTTCCTAGTTATCTAATAATATTTAATCGTCTAAATCCACAAGATATAATGCAAGATAATAATGAAATTGCAACACGTTCAATGATCACATAGAACCATGACATTTTTCTTTACGTGTATGCGATACATTATCACGATAACTAGATATATACATATATATAGCAATCATTCATAAGATAAACATCGTAATGATAATCTTCAACAGGTTTCTCAGACTATTTGAATTTCTCCAAAGCTCGTGAAAGTATATATGGAAGTTTTCAAGGCTGATTATCAGAATGTCAAGATCGTGACAAACGTTAAACGGTCAGCCGAGGATTAGCAGCTGTCAAGTGGATAATTACCACGCTATGATTATCTGCGTTCTACCTATGTGTACATGTAATATATGTGGTTTTACATAATAGACGGTCCTCTTGTACGCAGTTACGATAAAGGGAGAGTGGGATAATAAATGAGGGGAGCACACGATAATTGTTTAATTGTTGGAGGTCAACCTGGTACCTACCGATATAAAAAAAAACACGAAAGAGGATCCGCGAATACGAAGGAATTCGATTTCTCGACGCTTCTGATATCTAACGGATTAAAATTCTTCGCGTTTTCGAGAGTTTCACCGAAGGACAAATGTCAAACGATCGATGCACACGATGAATTGGAGGCATTCTTGAATAAAACGCGTCGCGATACACGTTGCTGAAAGCGTACGAAATTTTCAACGATCGACTGGCAGCGGGAAGATTCGTCAGACCAATGAGTGCATTAACGAGCCACAACAACGTCAAATGAAAAAGTCCTTGTGATATGATATTTTTTTGTGATTCGAGTAACGAGCATTGTCCGCAACAAAGTTGTACCACTCGTTCTGAATATCGGTACTTGTAATTGGAACGTAAAAATGTAACGATCGAAATAATAGTTCATTAGCGTCCTTTATACGATCTCGAGGCTCGAAATAAATTTCAAATATGTATTCATCGCGAGCTTGAGACAATTCTTATTGTATTGTAAGAGTTACTTTAAATTGAAAATAGATTTGAGATTAAAACGAGTTGCTCTCATTGATAAGAATTGAAAAATTGATAAAGAATAGAAAGATCGATTCAATACATTTTTGAATGTATTTGCCAACGTTTCAGAGAGAATCATCATTGAAACATCCGATAATGCGGATCAAAAAAAAGTCTGCTATGCGCCATTCGATTTATAGCATGCGGAAGAGATCGTAATCGAATTTGGATTTTTGCCAATTTCTTGACACCATCTCTTGAATTTCAACCGATTTCTATATCAAACACTTATCAGAGTATAATTTCTTCGTTGGAACCATTTATTTCCGAATAATTGGTCAACTAGATTGTTGGAACGACATTGTTCCGGAAAAACAACGATGGGTTTTTGAATTTATTCTCTTTACGCGAAGAAAATATCGCAATGAATACCGTGGTACGAAATTAACTACGATTTTAAACTTTGTTAGAAGGAAAATTATAAAATAAGATATAATGAAGACGAAGAGATATTCGATTTCCACGAAATATACTTTATTGAGAATCAATTCCTTCGTTATGAAACGAAGGTTACGAAATCGAATGATTTATCATATTGATAATTTGTTATTTTAAAATCTTTACATTTCGCGCTATTGCATGTAATTTTCGTCTATTTTTTTCGCAATATTTATTTTATCTTTTTTTTATCGATATACTTTCCGGCGTGAAATTACGTAAAACGCGTCATTTTTCGCAAACGATCTCTCCTTTATTTGCCAGACAAATTTTATTCAACGAATTTTCAATAATATCGTTTCTGAGTAAAGAAAAAACGGATAATTTTGTAAATTGATATTCATTCAAAGTCCAGTGATGATAGATCGATGTATATACTGCATAAGTCGAATGAATTGAAGGATAGACTATACAATAATGCTGATAAAAGATAATATAGTTTTTAAATTTCAATTTAATTCTCATTAAACAAACATGTTAATCCAGTGAAAATTTTAGGCCACGTATGATCCAGATAAAATGAAATAAATAAAAAATATTAAAATGGAAACTAAAATGAAATCTTATTGATTTACATATTAATAATAACGAAGATAAAATAAATGATAAAATAATGGAAATATACAAAGCGCGTTTAACTTAAACACGATAAGAAAAAATCAAACTTCGACAAACGACAATAAATATTTCTATATATATACCCTATATAAGAGTATATCTACAATATAGACTCTATGACGTTTCTTTTTCCCGAAGAATCAAGAAATTATTCTCAATTAGAATTACTCTCAATTAACAAAAGAAGCGTCCCCTTATCTCGCTCGACTCAATTACCTTTCGTTTTCCATTTTAAAAAAGCAAAAATACGTAAACGAGAAGATAAGACATATCAATCGTTTTCATTATATCATTGGCGCAATAAGTCGGTAAGAAAGACACGAGCCGCGAAACGATGCTCAAAATAATTGGAAATTTGCATTCTATTTCACTTCACGCGTCTCCAATCCTTTGTAAATCGAATCAAGGATAAATCTCGTTACCTCGAGTCGTACGGATCGCACTTGGAATTCATGTCCGTCGATTCTTACGTCCGATCTTCGAGCAAAGAAGAGGTGTAACACGTTTACGATCGAACGACAATCGGTTAAAGAGTTGGAAATCGGTCGGTCAAAACGACGATTCTCATGGCCAAGTGTTAGAATAGCAAAGTAAATAAAGACGTAGGTGTAGGCGTGAATGCACACGCTGACAGGCTGACTCGCTGGCAGACACAAACGAGGTGTAATCGAGGTCCGGTTGATCGCACTCGCGCCCAATACACTCTTACACTCGTTACGTTGGTTACACACGCACCATTAACGTACGTCTAAGCAGTACGATGATCACCGATCGACTGTTTACCACCGGCTGACACTGGTGTCTCATTTGTGTCATAAAGGCTTTCCATCTATGATCGGAGCGAGGAACGCTAGCAGGCCAGTAATCGCGCGTTTCCCTAGTAATGATCGGTCGTTCGTTTTACATAGCTACTGATAAGTCGACTCCAGATAATGATTACGTATTTTGATCCCGTGCTCCTCAAATGTGGCTCGCTTCGCCACGATTCATAGATTTTTCATCAAATTTGCGCAAATGACCTGGCAACCGACCTTATGAGAGCGCGATAATCGATTTATCAATTTTTCGACTTTCCAGATCTCTGAACGAAACGATTTTTGTCCCCTTCGTGAAAGAGAAATTTCCCCTCTTTTCCATAGTCTATTGGCTACCAGATCAATAACCGATATTCCCTAAGAAGAAAATCGAGCATGTAAGCATTGCCACGCGTGTCGAGTAAATAGACGCAATCAATTCTCGTATAATCCGCAAACGTTTACGCTGAGAAATTGATATCGCGTTGTCTATTTGTTCGCTCTTTACGATTCTTCGCTAACTAACTCTTTAAACGAACGATTTTTAAGCTTGCTTTTTTCATTATAACCAAGAAGCCTATTTTCGAGTATACTCGTTCCTTTGTTGAACATTTCGTAAACGAACAATCATAAATCGGATTGTTATGTATTGCAATTGTTTTCGTAGTCATTGAAAAGTTACTGATTTGAGAAATCCGTGATCTATCAGATATTAAAGAATCTAGATAGTAAAGATGAAAACTATTCGAAAGTTGACCAGTTAGCGTCAAAAGTCGAGATATGGATGATTATTGTAAGAAAATTTGATTAAGGTGGGAAAGCTGCAAGTGAAGCGTCTCAAGAAACGTGCACGAGCTGTTGGCCTTTTACTCATTATCGAGATAATGACGATGAGCTGATAATTATCGATAAAAATAACACGGTTTGCAAGCAGATAGCTCGCGGAAAAACACAAGACAATTATAATAGGTGCGCTTTGAAAAAATTAAATTGTTGAAAATTCAAACACTATCAACTAGTTTGAATATTTTTATGTATAGTTATAGCGGGTAATTAGCGGGTAATTAGCGGATAACACAGATTTACTTTCAATCCAAACAATAAAGGGATTTCGCTTTATCATCGCATTAAGTCCTTTTTGAGTAACGTATCATAGTCTGTCTTTTTAGTGCTAATCAGTGCGACTGAATCTTTAACAAACGACGTTATGTCAAGTTGAAACGATGCTTGCCCGCTTTGTCCGTTTTTATCGTTCGATTAGATCCATTGTTTAACGACCGATTCAAGAAGAAGAATGTTAATAGCGTTTAAGTGGAATATAATAATAGATAAAGACTCGGAAATTCGATAAAAAGATTTTATAGAATGGTTACCCGGAACTATTCCATTATTTGTTCGATTTCGACAAGGAACTCTTAAACATTATATGTCTCGTTTCCGAATTTATCGATTAAATTCGCTTCGACCGGTCTCGCTAACAATGATTTCACCGATCTTTTCAAATATTTGAAGTTTCGCGAAAGCTCTGGAATTTCTTTGTTAATTCCAGCACTGATATCGCGATACTAAAAGAAGGGAAGCTCGCGTAGAATTACTCACCTTCTAATTTGCTGAAAGACTTGAACGTCCTTTGATCACGAGCTGTTTTTTTTTTTTTGCAACACGATCACGTTTTATCAGACAGCCCACATCATCGCGCGAAATCTCGCACGTTGGCGCACGAATTCGAACAATTTTGCGATTTTGATCGTTCTTCACCGGAAGCACCGATATCCACAATTAGGATGTCATTTTATATTCTTAATGAAAATACGAAGATATGTGCTATAAACAGAAACGGAACAAAATATAGGACACGTTTGTATCGATAAGGAAACGCGAGAAAGATATCACGAGTTATTTGTCATATATTGTACGAATAAAAAAGATCAAAAGAAGTTCAACGACGTGTTTTCGAAAAGAAAGAAACCCGTTATAAATTTACGCCCCTCCCTATCCAATATCTCCATCTTGCCGTTTCAGAATCGAAATATAAAAGCGATCGACTGCCTCGCCCTTTCTTTATCTCTAAATAGGAAAAAACCCAATAATTTTCAAACATTGTACTTACAATAAAAATAAAAAAAACTTTATCTCTAAGATAAGCGAAATCTACAAAAATATCGTAATACTTGTTAATTTTTTTAAAGATTAATATCTTTATTATGAAATGTAATTACTAAAAAACGTGTAATTAAATTATCGTTCAAATTAGATAAACAGAGAAAAAGATCTTTTATCGTTTGATCGTTTTCATTCAAACATCGCGTATTAAAATCTTTTCATGCTTTTTGGCATACGATAATTTTTAATCCCTTTTCCATTTCTAAGCATTGTCTCGCTTTTCATCGATTCAACTTTCCATTCAATGATTAAAACGAATAATAAACCGAAGAAGAAGCGATAGAGCGACACTCGCTGAAAAGAGATAGTACAGTGGTAAATCGTTCGGCGAAAGAGTCGGCTGTGACAGGTGTCAGGCCGCGAAACGATTAGAAGGAGAGGCAAGGGTCAAACACCGACAAAGTTTAACGCGTGAGATCTTCGAGTTTCTCTGAGGATTGTAGTTGAATGTCATGTTTTCACAGCTAGACGGAGAAAATAGATCGTAATGTTGAATCGAGATCGAATCGATGATAATTGGAAAATCGAGTGGCGCGAGTATACGCGATTTATATGATAGCATAGTCGTTGAACCCCTGATGTTCTCTATATTCTGGCTCACTGTATGCAAAGGATCGAGCGAGGAACGTGCGGCGCGTATCCGCGGCGCGAGCATACTGCTACTCGCGAACGGTGGAGGCAGCTTCACCCTCTTCAGTATTGATCCACGTGGCCAGCTCGACTCTTTCCGCCACCAGCCCCACCGTCACCTCTTCGCGACCGTCCACCGACCGATGGCTACCGATCCATCCACCTCAAACTGTTCATCCCCTTTTCTCTTTTTATTCATCGTTCTGTCGGTCCATTTATCTTTCCTCCACCGCAATATTCCAAATAAGAAAAATTGATAACTTTGATTGGTTGGCGAGATAAATTTTAAATATGGAACTATTTAAACATATTCGAGGTGAATTTTGTTCGCTTGCTGACATTTAATTTGCGAGGAAATAAAGATTCTCACTGATACGATTTTATGTTGTTCTCGATAAAAAAAAATTTAAATATTAAACAATATATATATATATGAATAGAAGATTTAGAATAGAAATTCATGTTGTATCACTGACGTTATTTTAGATTAAAGTAAGATCGTTGTAGAATCGGAAACTGAAGTTACGGAGATTATTCGTATAAATGTACGTCTTTATTCTATTTCTACAACCCAAACATGTTGGAATGATAATATATTATAAATATGTAACAAATATAATATATATATTTCATTCCAGATAAATAAAAGAATTTTCTTAAATCTTCACTACGAATGATAGATCGTTAATTTAAGATTACTCCAAACATACATCAAATTTTTTCAAAAAACTTTAAACAAGACACGAAAAAACTGAAAAAGTTGATAAGAAAATTTTAACACAAAAAAATTATAAAAGCTCGATATTATTGTAGTTAAATGTATATTTATACATTATCTCACTAAAAAAACAAATATATTTTCTTAAAATACATATGTTGTTGTTTAAATGCTAAATTTTTTAATGATCTATAAAAAGTGATCTATAAAATCACAAAAAATTATCTTATAACGATATACTGTCTAATTTAGATTAGACACAAACAAAATTTTATACAGATTTATCTTACGAAATTTATATTCTGAAATACCGATCGAGGAAAAATTAGTTTTCCTATTATCGACGAAGAATAAAATAGATTTCTAAAATATCGATATTTCAAAAGAAAGTGTTTCTTCTTTATTTTTTAGTATAATATATATAAATAAACACTTACATCGCATATATAACTTTTTTTTAAGATTCCTGACCGATTTCTACTAATCTAAATCTATTTGTTTTTAGATTAAGAACTACTATAATCAAATTTTTCATTTTGAAATGAATAATCCACGTACCTTCTTAATAAAAAAAAAAAAAATTTACTTTCAACCACAAGTCTTAAGAAGTCAAGAAACTAAAATTTAAATTATTAATTATAATAAATTAAAAAAATATGCATAGATTTTATTACTATAGAAAAAAATTAGAAAGATATGAATATATTAATAAATATCTTAACTACCTTCCAAATAACTTAATGGAAAAATCAAAATTTAATAATCGCGATGGCAGCCAATTAGCTCATA